CCACCGGTCCGGCGGCTGCAGAGCGGAGAGGGTCAGGGTGGGCAGCACGGCCGCTCCCCGGTGCCGCAGCATCACGCTCACGGCACAAGCGTTTGTGTCCACCTGCGATCCTTTAGGCCACGATATTCATATTCTGAGCATGGCACGAAGAGCAAAATCACCGGGCGCATCTGCGGCGTGCTGGCGTGCACTGCTGTGACATCGGGGGGCTCTGTCCCCCCCGGGGTGCAGTGAAGCAGAGGGAGAGAACACCAGGAGGGACTCGGCCTCAAAGAGGTGACGCAGTGGCACGAGGTGCGGGCACCCCCGGCGCAGCCCCCCTCGCCAGCGGCACGAGCAGTGGAGACACTCGACTGTTCTCCATCTACAACACACCGCTGCGTGAATGCGGGACCCCGACAGTGCTTGGTCCCCGCACGCCACGACACACGGCGGCGCCGGCAAACAAAGAGCTGCGCCTTATTAAGTAAATGGACGAGACTGATGCGTTTCAGAGCTCTCGGCAGATTAAAACAACAATTTGCCTGGCAGCCCACAGCAAACAAAAGCCAGCCACCCCCAGCCGGGCTGGGGCAGAGGAGCAGCAGCACCAGGGCTGGGGATGCCTTCGTCCCCCACAGCCGAAATCATCCTCCTCCTCCTCCTCAGTTCAGTCTCCATGGGACGCAGACCAGAAGCCCGAGTCCTGCAGCAAGTCTAAAAGCAGCAACTCCTTCCCTCGCCCCCACGCCAGCAGCCCCCGGCGCTGACCCGGCGCACCGCGCGCTCACCGTGCCCTTCACCTGCCCGTCACCGGCTCGCGCACCGATGCGACTGCCAACGCCCGCCCATCCTTGCCGCGGTCTCATTTGCAGAAACGCTATCTTGCAAGAGGCTAATTAGTCCACTCAATTAAAGATGCAACTTCCACCTCAATTAGACTGCCTCCCAGCCAGCCGCAATTCCCACCGGTGCCTCAGTCCACACGTTTTGGACATCGCAGACCCGCTCGCACCTTGGCCGCAGGGTGACGGTCCCCAGAGCCGCGGCTGCTCGTCCCACCCCTCCCCTCGGTGGCGCCTCGAGCGCGGTCGTGCCGGAGATGCTCCGAGCTGCCAGCGAGGTCATTACCCGACGTTTCGGTGGCCAACCCCACGAGCCCTCTGCTGCAAGCGGTGCTGGGACTGTCTCTGACCCTGCAAAGCATCTGCATGACTGCAGCTCTGGTCTGCTCCGCTCCCCTGGCTAAGAAAGGACATTGTGAGTCTATATTTAGCCCTAGAAATGGCTGGACTGCGTTGGGGAAAGCAACCTCACACAAGAGAGTAACATCCAGCAAAACAGCCCTCACGGCCCACCCAGTACTTTTCCTTCTTAAAATATGAAGCACAGAGCGAAGAAAACAAGAAGTTTGAGCCGAATTAGAAAATGCTGAAAATATTTGCTGCTGCCGCTGCTCGCCGCTGGCAGGTCAGCCTGCCAAGGTACATTAAGTGGAAGTGACTGAAAAGTTAAGTCAACAGCAGAACCCGGGCTGCAAATAGCTCCAGTTGGTCTTGCACCGGCTTGCAAAACCTGAAGGAGAGGAAAACGCACCCCCTCGACGGCGAGCTGCAGCGCGGATGGGGCCGATGCTCCGTTTTAGCCAGCGGAAGATGGCGCCGGACACAAAACATCCCCACGTGCTTGGTGCAGGCCCCGGCACTCGCCCATCCAGCCCAGGCGCCGCCGGCCACCCCAACCGCCCACGGGGTCCCTCAGGCACGTCCCGCACCCCTGGGATGGGACAACCCCCCGCAGGCGCAGCACTGGGTCCGGCACCAACGGTGCCAGCTGCTCCCCCAGCACAAATCCGGGCTCGGTGGCCTCGCCAGCACTCCTCTGCGCCGCCACGATGCAGACGGGGCCCAGAATCACATCCTCCCCCCTCCCCGGGGAGCAGCAGCTGCTTCACGTAGAAGAGCCGACGGGATCATGGGGAGCGTCACCCCCACAGCGGCGGCAGAGGGGGACGGGCCACCCGAGGGTCCCCAGCCCGTGGTTGCCGGTTGAGGATCCGAACATCCCCACACGGAGAGGGACGTCCACGGGAGCGCGGCCAGACGTGCGCTCCAGGAGGTGACAGAGATAAAACTCAGTCCAAGCACAAGGAGAGCGTTGTCTGCCTGGCAAAGCAGGGACCGCAGGAAGGAAACGGGCAGACGCATCCATTGCTCACCAGATGAGCCAGCCGCGCGCCGCCGCGACCAGGAGCCAGCACCACCTCCAAGGAGCCCATTTCCCAACCCTGGGACCACTGGATTCATCCCTTCCTTTCCAGCCGAGCCCCGTGACGTGCTGGGATGAACTGGGAGCAGAATGACTGCGCGTGGCTGAGGCACCGCGAGCACACAGGCGGCTTTCGGAGAGGTGCAGACCCCAAGCGGGGCCGTGGGTTGGCCGGGAGGTCTCGGGGCACAGAGCGAGGGAATTTATCTGCGGGGTTGGCAGAAAAAAGGTGCTCAACACGAATCTGGGAACCAAAATCACTTCAACGCCTGGAAGAGGAACCTCCTGCCCCACGACAAAGCTGCAGGTCACTTGCTGGTTAGCACCGCGCTAATTGTGCCGACTCAGCAGGACCACGGCACAGCCTGTCCCACCCCTGGCTCTCGACGGCCCCCAAGGGCCCGGCCCTAACCGCACTGCCCCGGGCTGTCCCGCGGTTTCGGAAGCACCCCCATGCACCCCCTTCCCAGGGCAAAGGGCACTCGCAGAGGCACGTGCTCCCCGCACCGTTTCAGAGCGGCTCCTCAGGGCACGAGCTGGCCAGAGTCCCTGCTGGAAGGCCATCCATGGGGAGCACGGGCTTGGGAAGCCATCCCAAAATCCCAGAGCGCGGTGGGTGGTCACAGCTCCTCCTGCCTCCCGGGGCATCGATGCCCCACGGGGCAGCAGAACCCGCAGCTGCGGACACCCGTCCCCGGGGGGGAGAAGGCGTCTGGAGTGGGGGCAGCAGGAGCACGTGGGCAGCCCCGCTCCCCATAGAGCTTCTCCAGCGCTCGCGAGATGGTGGCGAGACCTCGTCGGCAGGATCCACCTGACAGCGAGAGCAGCTCCCTCCTCTCCAACGCCAGCTGCTCGCGCTGCCGCCGCACAGGAACAAGCCACGCAATAACCTGCAGCCCACGGTGCACGTGAGCACGGCTCCGCAGACCCCCAACATCCCCACCCAGCCAACACGGTCACCTCCACGAAAGGTGAGGATGCTCCTGGTCTCTGCCCAAAGGGCTCCTCACCCAGCCCTGTCCTCAATCACAGCCCCCCAGTCTCAGCCCGTAACGCAGAAAACACCAGGAGATAAGGGGACACCACCGCAGCACTCAAACAGCAGCCGGGTTCCCCCGCGCCCTCCCAGAGGGGGAAGGAGACCTCAACCCGCTGTGGTCCTTTCCCCAACATCCTCATCCCAGTCCACAGGAGGACAGCTTTTGGGGCCAACCCTCCTGCCTCAGAGCTGCTCATGTCCCGCCCTGGCGGACTCGAGGGCGGTGTTTCTGGGGACCCCACGTACCAGCTGTTTTATGCAGCTTTTCCCTTAATTTGTCTCTGCCTTTCTGCCCTGATCCTGCTGCCTCTGCGGGGAGACAGGGATGCCACGTGCAGCAGAGCAGAGCCTATGCCGGCCGGCATACCAGGTGGGCAACCAGCCCTGCCACGCTTGGAGCCGGCTGCGGGTCAGGTATGGGCTGGTGGCAAAGAGAAACCAACAAATGCCAACGCGGAGTCAGCTCCTGCAGAAGAGGAGGCTCCGGGGGCCACAGCCTTTGAGGAACAGGGGGGACCGGGGGTTTTGCTCCCCATCAGCCCGACTGGTACTCGGCACCAGGGGAAAAGCGTCACCAGCTGGAGGGCGCGAGCAGCCCCCGCTCCTGCCGAGCACATGGAAACGGCACGGAGAGAAAACGAGGGGCAAGTGGTAGGGCTGAGACACCAAAGACGAGGGGACGTCACGGCTGTTTCCACCTCCGCGCCACCCACAGTGCCTCGAAACGGCTTTGGAAACAGTGAGAAGGCAGCGCCTCGGTTTTACCCCAAAACGGGTGGTGCTGCCGGGCTCTGCCAGGGATGCTCTGTCAGTGCACATCACCGGACAGGGAGCACGCAGCACAGGGGCCAGAGCCCAGCCCTCTCCTCCGGACACCGCAGCAGCACCGGGGCACGCCGGCGTCCCACAGCACAGCACCTCCTGCGCCAGGACAGAGCCCCACGGCGTTCCCAGAAACCTCAAGTTCTGCCGGGTCTCGCCAGGACACTCCACGTGGGGATGGCGGGCACCCTCCCCTCCCACCATTGCACGGAGGAGTCGCTAGCTGGTCCCCACGGGCAGTCCCGGTCCCTCTGACAGCTCCTGCCTTCTCCCCCCAGCGGCCCCCACGCGCTCCTCTCTTCACCTCCGCTGAACCCAGCGTGGCTCCGGGCACGTCCCCGCACGCCCAGGGAAACAGTGCGTGCACACACGTGCACGCGCGGGCACACGCGCTCCCCTCGCACACCCGAGACGTGCCAGACCACCAAGGCGGCGAGAGGAAAGCGCTGCACCAAGATGCCGCAG